TTAGAGCATCCTTTCCATGGTGAAGATATATAACTCACTGACCAAACCTCCTGCTTTAAGGCAAATGAAGACCCTACTCTCTGCAAGTTGTGAATTGTTCCAGTACCCACAAGTCATGGAACCGGTGCTTCTGACTTTCTGCAGATTGCCCTTTCCCAGGGATGAACCTCAATCCATCTCCAAATATTTGGGATGAGGAGCTCTCAAGCCCCTGCATCACTTCTTTTAGATGGAGGGTCCCATGGCTTCACTCCCATCTCTCTTCATTGGCATTCAAGGCATCTAGAACAAAACCTCAGAACACCGGGACACAGCCAGGGTGACCAGGCATCCTCCTTTTCCAGGACACATCCTACATTTCCACCTTCGGTCCAGGAAGAATTCCAAAAAGTCCTAGTCCTCCACTGTGAGTGTGACTAAGAAGCATGCATTTATATTTATATGACTGCTTTTAGCTTTGATTTGGGAATGCGCTCAATTTTTCCTACATTTTGCGGAGTCTTGACCTTCTCAGCGGTTAGGACATTGGGTCACTCACAGCCAGATGGTTTCCTGAGCAGGTGCAGAGTGCATTTTCCGCCTCTTGGAATAACTTCAAGGCCAAAGTGGGGGGAAGGCATGGTTTCTGAATGGGACTTAGGTCTCAGCCTCTTTCTAGAACTGACTTTTGGGAAACCCAATGCATTACACCTCCCTCTTGGAAAATGCTCCTCTCCCCTTGCCTTTTTCTTTCATTTATTGGTGTCCCACTTTTTCCCCAAAACTGAGACCCAGGGCACCTCACAATATTAAAAGAACAGTACAATTACAAGCCAGCGTGGCATAGTGGTTTGAGCGTTGGACGACTACTCTGGAGACCAAGGTTCAAGACCCAGCTCAGCCATAAAACTCACTAGGTGGCCTTGGGTGAGTCACACTCTCTCAGCCTCGGGAGAAGACAATGGTAAACCTCTTCTGACCAAACCTTGCCAAGAAAACCCCATGATAGGTAGGTTTTTTAATGTTAATTTTTTACTGTTTAAATTAGATGCTTTTAAAATTTTGACTGTAAAGTTTTTGTTAAATGTTTTTTTTTATTTTGTGACCCACCTTAGGTCCCTTTCCTGGGAGAAAGTGGCATAAAAATGAAATGAAATAACTGGAGTTGCCATCAGTTGGAAATGACTTGAAGGCACACAACACACACAATTAAAAGCATGCAAATGTGATACATTAAAATAGAATGAAATAAATACATTCCATAAAATGTGTGGAAATAAACTTGGAAAACACACACCACCACGCACAATTAAAAGCATACAAAAGCAACGCGTTAAAAAGAGAATGAAATGAGACCGATATTAAAACAAGATTGCTCATATTTAAAATACGTAGATGATTTCAAGGAATACATTGCTCATGGGAAAGACATGAGAAAGAAAGGCTACGAAGACTTAAGCTTCTGTATCCTTTTTCTTGGCTTTCGGATTGCTGCGGTTGATTGGAGGCAGAGGAGCAAACCAGGCTGGGTTGGCTGGGGCAGTTAGCATCCCCATCAATTGACAACCCCATCAGTTGGCAACCCTATCAGTTACCATCTCCATCAGTTGGCAACCCCATCAGTTGGCATCCCCATCAGTTGACAACCACATCAGTTGGCAACCCCATCAGTTGCCATCTCCATTAGTTGGCAACCCCATCAATTGGCATCCCCATCAGTTAGCATCCCCATCAGTTGACAACCCCATCAGTTGGCAACCCCATCAATTGGCACCCCCATCAGTTAGCATCCCTATCAGTTGGCAACCCCATCCATCCCTCCCTCTCTTCCTCCCTTGGCAGGCTCAATGGGAAAAGGGGGCACAAAGAGGGCAGAGGGACCACTGATGGGTCTCTGGCTCTCCAAAGGAGAAGGCAAGCCAGCCTGGCAGTGCCCACCTTTGCCCACCCAAGCCTTCTCCCTTCTTCCCTGCCATGCCAGCCCCTCTCTAGTCTAGAGCATCCTGCCCAGGCTCACCTTTGGACCGATGGATGGTGCCCTTGCCTTCTTCCAAGGCTCTGCTGCTGCTGCTGCTGCTGCTTCTCCCCAAAGGATGCCAGCAGCCCCCAGCCCCAGCCCCAGCCCCAGCCTCAGCAGCATCCAAGGAGAAGGCACCAGACCCATCCCCGCCAGTTTGGAGGCGCCTCTGGGGTGGGGGGGGGGGGGGGGAGAGAGATTTGCAAACCCCTCCTACAGAGCCTGCGCCTTGGCACAAAGGGCTTCTGGGAGTTGTAGTTCCCTTGGACAGAGCAGGAAGGGAGGGGAGATGGGATTAAAGTCAGATGGGTAAGACAGGCAGCCTGATGCATGGTGCCCAATGGGAGGGACAGTCTTTCTCTCTCTCTCTCTGGATGTGTGTTGAAATCCAGAAAACATACAGGGGTAACTGTGTTGCAAATGCACAAAAGGCACAATAAACATGTTGCAAGCTTTGAAAGCTCTGCTGGCTTCTTCTTCTCCTTCTTCTTCTCCTTCTTCTTCTTCATCATCATCTGGCAAAGCTGTCCAAAATCATCTTTTCTTTGGTCCCAACAAAATGTACAATAGGCATGTTGTTGCAAGCTTTCAAAGCTTGCAAGTGGCTTCTTCCAAGAGGTCAAAACCCATCTTTTCTTTGGGCCAGCCAAAATGCACAACAGACAAGTTGCAAGCTTTTTTGACGTTCCACTGGTTTCTTCAAAAATGTCAAAAATTATCTTTGGTCCCACCAAAACACACAAAATATGCATTGCAAGCTTTCAAAGTTCAACTGGTTTCTTCATGAGGCAAAGAGGTCAAAAATCCTATTTTCTTTGGGTCAGCCAAAATGCACAAAATACCTGATGCAAGCTTTCCAAGGTCCACTGGCTTCTTCAAAGATGTCAAAAATCATCTTTTCTTTGGGCCAACTAAAATGCACAATAGACATGTTGCAAGCTTTTTTAAAGAAGTGGTCAAATACTGTGAGGCCTTTGTTAGTGTGGCCTTTGTAGAAAACTTTTTAATAATGGCAGACTGTATTTTTATCAACATTATTGCACATTGTATACAATAATGTATATATTGTAATTGCTTTTCAAACTGTTTTAAACTACTGTTTTTAATATGGTTACAGTCAGCCCTCTGTATCCATGGATTTTTTAATCCATGGATTCAAGCATTCGTGGTATAAAAATATTTAAATTATTATTCATTTAAAAAAACCCTTCATTTTGCCATTTTATATAAGGGACATAATTTTACTATGCCAGTGTATTTAATGGGACTTGAGCATCCACAGGTTTTGGTATCCACAGGAGGTCCTGGAATCAATCTCCAAAACTGTATTTGTTTTGAAAGTTTTGTTGTATTATTTTAACTTTTTTTGTTTTTACTCTTATATTGTAAGCTGTCGCGGGTCTGGGAGAAAAGAGGGTCATAAAAGAAATAAATATATAAAAAAAACATTTGCTAACACGCTGTTACTAGAATGAAAGAATGGCAAAACGCCACTTTAAAAAACTACATAGATTATGGAGACTACGGAGATTATGGAGATGAGACACTAATTGTAAACAGTAAATGCAAAATCTGTTATGAAGGATGTCATTGTTTTATATGTAGAGAATTGTTATTTTGTGTATGTGTATTTGTATAGTTGTTTGATTGTGAGTTCTAAGTTGTAAATTAGTTGGAGTTTATGGTATGTATTATAGTATATGAATAGTTTTGCGTTATTGTTTTGTATTGTACACTGTGAACCTAAATATTATTGTAATTGTAATTTTTTCTAGTTTTGTTTTTTAAAAAGTATGATGTTCATTAGAAATTAATTAAAAAATGAATCGGTTTAAAGTAAACCATGCACATCTAGTTGTCCCTGAATTTCCAGTCTTTGCTCTATGTGATGCAATGGTCTCTGCCAACCTTAGCAAGCCCATGCTTCTGCTTCTCTCTGGCTTGTGCTGTTTGTTGGGAAAGGTGCAGATTCCTGGTCCTTGCCTGCCTTTTCTAGCTCTCTCCCCTTCCCTGCCTCCTCTTAGCTCTGGTCCGGAGGGAATTTCCAGAGGAAGTACGCTTGGCTGAGAAAATAGCCAGTGAATTCACGCCACCTGCTTCCAATCAGGGACTGACGCCAAGTCGGCTTCACAGGAGCCTCTGGGTCCGGTTGTGCCATGCGCCTGTGTGCAAGAATCATTGTCTAATACTGAACAACATGTCTTCCCCTCATCTATCCAATACAATGAATGCACACCATAATACTGGCAGAAAACCTCATAATAAACCTGGAACACTTACTAAGGAAGATCCAAGAGGAAAGTGCAAAGGCAGGCTTAATGCTGAACATCAAGAAAACAAAAATAATGACCACTGAGGACCTTCACGAGTTCAGCCTAGACAATGAAGAAATAGAAATAGTAAAAGAATTCCCATACCTGGGATCAAACATTGATAGAAATGGGGACTGCAGTCAGGAAATCAGAAGAAGAATAAGAGTGGGGAGGGTGGCTATAGAAGAACTAGAAAAGATCCTAAAATGGAAAAATATACAACTCAGCACAAAAGTCAGAATCATACAAGCCATTGTATTCCCTATTATTCCCATGGATGGATGTGAGAGCTGGACAGTAAGAAAGAAGATAGGAGGAAAACCAATGCCTTTGAGAGAATGTGTTTCTGGAGAAGAGTGCTGAGAATTCATCCCATGGAGAGCCAAAAGGACAAAGAAAGGGGTCCTAGAGCAGATCAAGCCAGAGAGATCCCTAGAAGCCAAGATGACCACACTGAGGCTGTTGTACTTTGGATGAATCATGGGAAGAGAGGACTCTTTGGGAAAGACAATAATGCTGGGGAAGGAAGAAGAGAGGAAGGCCACATGCCAGATGGAGGAACTCTATTATTAAGGAGGTCCCTATGGGGATTTATTAAGGGCTTGCAGCAATTAAGCAGAGCAGCGGAGGACAGAGGAGGGTCTTCTTGGAGAGGTCTCATCCATAGGGTCGCCATGAGTCGAGATCGACTTGAGGGCAGTTAACAACAAGCAACAACAAATTGCATCTTCCTTCTATCCTGAGGATGGAGATGGCTCTGCACATTTAGGAAAAGACTGAGCATCACCTACCCTCCAGGACTGTGGCTGTTCATCTTAAGCTCTCCTATAGAGTATAACTATCTGGATTTTCACCACCCCAGGCATTGTGACCACCAAAAAAACCAAAAACCAAACAAAAACCCCAGTTTATTTTCCAGTATTCCTTGTTCCAAAGGGATGCTCTCTCTGGGCGTCTCCCTCTTTCTTTTCCTCTCTTCATGTGGAATCTTTCTGGGGGAGCAGACCAGAAACAGAGCAGACCCAGGTGGCATCCAAGGGGCAAAGCCTCAGAGGAGCTTCTCAGCGGTCTCTCCCAGCTGCTCCACCTTGGCTTGGTTTCATGAGACGCCGCTGAGGCTCACAGAACAATGGGAGAGACAATGTAGTGAAGTGGTTACAGCAGGGACAGGAATGTGGGGCCCTCCAGATGCTGTCAAACTGCAGGTCTCCACATTCCTCACCACTTGCGAGGGCTGCTGGGAGTTGCAATCCACAGGGCTGTGTGAGTCTCACCCCTGGGTTTGAACATGGAGGCTGGGACTTGGAAGATGCAAGTTCCAGTCCACATGGAGCCATTAAAGTAATTGGGTGACTTTGGGCCAGTCACTCTTTCAGCCTGGTCTTCCTGACAGGGTTCATAGAAATCAGAGTTGGAAGAGACCCCCAAGGGCCATCCAGTCCAACCCCATTCTGCCATGCAGGAACACAGAGTCAATGCACCCCAAAAAGACGGCCATCCAACCTGTTTAGAAACTTCCAAAGAAGGAGACTCCACCAGTCTCCAAGGCAGTGTCTTCCACTGTTGAACAGCTCT